GATATTATCACGATACTTAGGTCACGATACGATATTATCACGATACTTAGGTCACGATACGATATTATCACGATAGTTAGGTCACGATACGATATTATCACGATACTGCGATATTCTGAGTATTGCGATAACATAGGCCTATATTGCGATTTATTACTTTTTTCAACTTCAAATTATGTCCCCAAAGGAAAACTGTGTCAACATGTTTTCTTTAATAAGATAACGTTTTCAGTCTGTTCATCTCACTTCAATCATTTTTATTGCAGCAAAATAGGATTGTCAAGCAGACAGACTGACCAACAATATCATAAATGTTGCATGAATCTGACAAACTGAACTGTTTGTATTACTACATAGTCCAACTTAACTAAATGCAAACGTGTGGACTCAGTATATGAACTATAACTTATATAAGTAGGATATAAGAGTTGTATAACTCAGGGCAGAGAGACAGTTATGCGCTGCACTCTCCCCATGAGTCTGGCTACTGTTGGCAGATTTAACCAGTTGTGAGGCCAGATGTCTCTATCTTTGTTTTGACCAACTTCCTACCAATCACGCTGACCCGGGACCTTTCCTGACTTCACCAGAATACAACTCGGCACCATCTAGTGGACTGAAAAAGCAATTGATTTGATTTTTCTAGTAATTATTTATTTATTTTATTTTTTTAATAGTTTATATAATAAAAGATCGATACTTGGCGTCCGTGTATCGATACAATATCGTCACGCAAAATATTGCGATACTATGCTGTATCGATTTTTTCCCCCACCCCTACCGTCTACCTGCCCGTCTACCTGCCCGTCTACCTGCGCACGTATTGCTCATCACCAAACTCTTCCAGCTGTGAATACTAACAATAACGTTTACGTTCATAATGAATATTTTGGGGGAGTGGCTCTGGAGGGAGGCCTCAAGGGAAGGGCTGTCGATATTTCCGTCTGAGTTGGATCATTTTAAAAATCTTTAAAAATGTAAAATTTCTAAAGATTACCAACCCTAGCTTTGAAGGAAAAAGCAAAACAAAATATCTAACCGGCTGTTAGTAGATTCCTATGCAGTTCACTACTACAGCTTTATGACCTCGCACCACTTACCCCTTAGCTTTGTAGATTTCTTTTCATGTTTTTATTCGTGTTTTTGTTTTGATAGATAAGAGCAGACTGTATGACTGACGGGGATGGGAGTTGCTTTAATAACATGTATATAGTTAATGGTTAGTTGTAGATTTATTGTTAAAATTCCAGTCATGTGTGGTGCAACACATTCAGGTTTTCCCAAATCTCCATCAAGTATTGGTAAAGTGTAAGTAATCTTTTTCAGTATAACAGTAACAACCATGCGAGTACTGTATCTTATCAGCTGTTGTATCTGTCTATAGTAACACAGTTCATTCTTGAGAAAGTAAGCGTCTCTTCTCCAAGTTCAAACCTCTTGATTGCCACGGTCTTCACAACATATTGGGTGCTTCAGTACAATGGTTTCAGTCTGGTCCTGGATGGCGTCGGTGCCAGACAACTTTCCATGATCCTCCCGGTGAGGGAAGGAAGGGGCACTGATTATTGCCCAGTTGCCCACCTCGCCCACACCACACCCTTAATGGAGAGATAGGCCAAGCTAGGGTCCTGCTCTTTCCCTGTCACTTTCCGCACTGTGTTTATGTTTCTGAATGTTTCATCTACCAACGCACAAGAATATTACACACAGGAATGTCACGGGAAGTGTGACAAGTAAAACACCCTCTGTTCGCCATATCAACCTTTGTCTCTTTCTAGAACTATGTCACTGCATGGAACAGACTCAAATTGTCTGTAGTGTGGAAAACAAAAGTGTTGGTATCGTGTGCAACTGTATAATTAAAGCTCTAATACTGGTTTGATAATGGTCAAAATTACATGAGAGTAGAACATGCCAGTTAGCAGATTGAGTTATTGCTCCGTAATAAAAAAGTCCTGTTTTTTCTAAACATAGTTTGCTTGCCTGTTAATGAGCTGTTGATGAAACACTGGATGTGAGTCAATTATTGTAACAGGAGCACCTGTGCAACATTACTAATACAACCTATTAGACCTGGATTAAATAAGACGTTTTCAAAGCCAATAAAAAGTAGGCGGCAACCTCCGGTTCTAAAAAGTGAAGCCAATGCTGAAGTGCCTTAAACCTGCATTCATTCTAATGACCAGCAGGGGGCGACTCCTCTGGTTGCAAAAATAAGTCAGATTGTATAGAAGTCTATGAGAAAATGACTCTACTTCTAACTAGATTTATTCCCTCAGTAAACATTGTAAACATGAGTTTATAGTCTCAATCTCTAGTTTCAAGTCTTCTTCAATACAGCATGATGTTCGTTTAGTAAATTATGGTCCATTTAGAGTCAAACAGACCATAAAGCAGAGTATGGTTTAAAGCAGGGTTACTTAAAGATTGACAGGTTGTTGCAATGGCTTTAAGACTTGAACCCTTTCACAGTGTGTTTTCAAATCATTAAAGTTAATTGTAACATTTTGGTCACCTCAAAATGTCTTGTTGGTTGTACTTAGCTCCACCCTCTCTTGTTATTTCTGGTTGCAAAAAAACAACAACATGGGGACGGCCCAAAACCAAGATGGTGATGGCGAAATGCCAAACTCGAGGCTTTAAAACGGCAGTCCACAAACCAATGGGTGACGTCAGGGTGACCACATCCACTTACTATATAAAGTCTATGATGATAACACACTTTGATGATAATTTGTCAGGGAATTGTTCATTCGAGGTAATGTTCATTTTGATACTCATTTTGATACTTTGTGTTGTACCTAACTACCTCATCTTGTGACATGAATCTAATGTTATGGACAAAATAAGAGGATTCTTCAATGAGAAGTTAATGTACTGGCTGAGAGGCCTCGAGGACACTACAAACACCTAGCATAGTGTTTCAACAGTAACGATTGGTATTGCTGACTAAAGCAAACCAGGCCCTCATGGGGCTCGGGTTGGGAAAAGGGTCAGGGATGCATTCCATCGATGGAAAACATTTTTATTTTTTTTCTCCCCTGGAAAAATAAACTCTCTAGATGTGAATGGGTTGCCACAGCTTATATGACCCAGGTCTGTACCATAATCCTGCATAGTTTTGGTCTTGTCACATGTTGATTTTTATTTGTAGGACACATTACCACCATCATCAAACCACTGTGGCCCTTTTGGAGTCCTGGACCACCAATAAAATGGAGCCAGTGTTTGTGTAGCTCTCGCGCTTGCGTGGGGCTCACTGGCTCACCACGTCACCGGTGGCTGTGTTGTGGTGAAAGCCGCTACAAGAATTCTCTCCATGTGGTGCGCGACACCCACAGCACACCGCGCTCCGACAATCCCAGCCTCCTACTCGCATCGCAGCTTTTGCCACAGGAAATGTGTTGTTGATTTAATGATGTGTGTGTGTCGTGTGTGTGTGTGTAGGCCTTTTTGTTGTGGAGACAGTTTTTGCTGTATTCCCCCCCCCCCCCCCGACATGTAGAGCCATTACAAAGTGGATTAAACTCGGATACAACCAACTCTACCTGAGTGAATTAACACAAATGTAATTACTGTTGTCGAGCCATTTTGTAAACTAAGTGCGAACAGACAGTGCACATTGTATGTGTGTGTTGAAGACACAGAAAAAGGGAATAGAAATGCATTTTGTCCGCCCCTACCAGCTTACTTCTTATAATGCGTAATAATTCATGTAGATAAGAGACAAGCTTGGCGTATCAGCGAAGGGTTAATGCGGAATGCGTATAGGCGTACCTCGATCCTGTAAGGCCTCATGCACTGACTAGAAGGGGCTTTCGGCTTACAATCCTTTTTCATGTGGGGTGCGGGGAGGGGCTCTGGGCTCTGCTATGGGGGGTTGTGGCCTATATAATACTTCCATGGTTTTGGCAGTCAGATTTTCGAGAAACTTCCTGGTGTGTCAGGATCAATCGGGCCTAAGCCAGTCTTAATTAAAGGCTTGGGGCTGGGCAGAAGTCGAGGGCAAAAGGCATCCCTGTTGGTTAAAAGAATGAAGCGTCTGTCATTATGACACTATAGGGAGCATCAGCTTTATTACTTAAAATTCCTCTTGCAGCTCAATGACGACATGCAAATGATGCTTTGATTATATTTGTTTTGCCCAAAATAAATTTGATGGAAAAGGCAACACTATGGTACTAATTTAAGAAAAAGTTCCCATATATTTCGATTGTTTTGTGGTATTAACCTCAAGAAAGTGACACAACAGACCTGCAAAGACCAGAAAAGTAACAATTTCAAGATCAACAAATTGCTCAGTAGTTTGTCAGCCCGCTTGGATATCATTCTGCCATCTTTCAGCTCACAAAGTTGACAGAACAGATTTTTATTCACTTCTAATCATAAACATATTGTGAAGAGGCAAATATCCATTCATCTCTGCTCGCACTATTATTTATGTATACTTGAGTTATGTTAAGATGTTTTGAGTAACCAAAATAGGGATTTGTTAAAGGCATTTCTTATTTATAGTCACTTACTCTCAGTGCTTGTTAAAATGTTAAAGAAAAAGGTTCAAGAGTGTTAGAAGCTTAATTTTTGCTACTGAAGCAGTTGTCACAAGTTTTAAACGATGCAGTTATCGTTTTCAACCACTTGGGGGCACAGGCAACTTACAGGGAAGAGATGAGGAGCCATGAGCTGGGTTGTGAATGGTGTGTGTTTGTTTGTGTGTGTGTGTGTGTGTGTGTGTTCCATTAATTAATGATCCAAAAGGGTTGCACTCACTCATGACACATCATGTACCACAAGAGAGGAAATAAGACAAATGCCACAGATGTCCCTTTTTCTCCGTCCTGTTTTTCTCTGGTTTGTTTCCCTCCAAATCCAAACGTCAGACAGACAGCGCCTTAGTATGTTTTAGTCTCCCGAGTGGATGTTTCCAGTACACCCATCTGTCAGACAGTTTTTTTTTTGCGGAGGTCCGAGGAGGGGTATGGCGGCGGTG